ATAAACGGAGCCTGGACTGAACGGAGTGCTGGCATTGCATCTTTTGTGTGATATGACAGAAAGTGGAGATTTCGAATGGCGTTGCGAAAGATATTGTCGTTCACATTTTCAAGAAAGGTGCTCTTGTGGAAACAGCCTGCTCTTGCATGCTATTGTGAGCAGGATTGGACAACATGTTGCGAAGATTTTGGGTGAAGACCAATGTCTTCTCAGGACAGGCCGAGGGTGTTTGGATCGGATATTCACTGTAAGACAGTTAATGAAGATGAAGAGAAAAGTGGGATCAAAAGTTTTGAAATTCTCGTTCATTTTGCCAAAGCATATGACTCAGTCTAAAGATCTCTGTTGGGAAAAGTTAGTGAACAATATGGAATTATTCGTTTCCCCGAGGGTTTACCTATGCAAATGACCAAGATCTCGAAATCGCAAGTTATGCATGTCTTGGCAATCAATCGGACCGAATGAACTCGCTTTGAGGGGGCAGGGAATCACACGATAGGGAAGAAAATGGGCATGGGCCATCTTTAATCTATTAAGGTATCATTACTGGACAGTGAGCTATCTATTCAGATGAAGAAACAACCCCTCGATCGATCTTCCTACCCGCCATAATCCACAACGCTAAACGTTGATCTGCTACTTAAGCCAAGGAAGACTAGCTGGCATGCAAGGGGCTACTTGGCAGTACGCTATAATCGCGTTCGTTTGACAACGGACTGGATTAACAGACTAATTTTTGCGTTCTATGACGTAAAGAAAAAATATGCCGGTCAGGTGACATGCCTGAATTGCAAATTTGGTTCCGTTTGATCTCCAATGTCGGAGTCACTCATCCAAGAACATTCTGGAATGAATTGATGGTCAAATAACAGTGTCCGTGGTGTTGATAAAACGCTGAAAACAGAGAATGTTGAAAGGTGTCGGTCTGCGTTCGTGGCACCCTCATAACGAGGACAAGTCAGGTAATGAATTACGGGTTAGAAACGAGGAGGTACGTTCTGGTGCAAAACTCTGTTGCAGAAGAGACATTAGAATATTCATTTAACATGGCTTCTTGGCTGTAAACATGGCATTTAAGACGGTGGGACCACTGGCAACGAATGGCCGATGACTGCTCTGCGAAACGAGTAATTGACCCAAAACCTGACGGCAGGTCACCGTCAGAAAGCCCTCCAATAAGAGGGAAGAACTGGTTAGATCTGACACGACAACGAAAGCTCTGAAGAGTGAGCACTGTCTGTTCGATCTACGTGGAAGTCTTGTACGGCACAGGACATTAGGAGAAAAGATCAACTTAAGAAGCTACCTAAGGAATCAAAGAGGCGAGTCCATTTTTGAACTTTGACCATGATCTGCAGCGACTATGACTCTCAAAGAGGCAAACCACTGATTGAATAGGCCAAACTTTGTGCAGTTGCCGTCACTTCCGTCTGGATGACGAACTCTTACTGGCAGCGAGTTCGTTGTTTGGTTGCTCTGATGAAGGTTCAGCAAAGTTTGAGCTTCAGTGATGGCGTAAGCCTGAGCTAATTTAATTCGACTGCAACATTTAGTATAGAGTACCTGACAACCCAAAGAAATGGATGATGCACAAGTTTATTTAACAGGAGTCAGGGCAGGACAAGAGAGTCACGCTAACCTAGTCGCTTAGGTTATATATTAAGCTATATATTCTCTGAACTTCAATTACTTCCAAAATATTGTTGTTTTTCAGTTTTATTACATATGGCTATTTTGTCCGAATTTCAACGGACAACGCAGTTTTTCATCATCTGACAACGGACCACATGAGATCCGGAAGTTCATCTCAAAGTTATCTAATAAACTAGCTGTGAAGTCATCAGCAAGAGATGAAGAGCCACACGTCAACTGCTCTTAAATTCACTGGTTCACAAGTTTATAGGTACATAAGAAAGGCTACTTTCTCAGGACATGAGGTATTAGTTTGACAGAAACTCAGTCATATTTATGTTTACATGGATGAAGAATAACGACAGCAACAGAAGTGCATCTGCTGATCATCACACTGAATAAGTTAGTGTCAGAGGGCTCAAGGCGAACTGCGTGCCTATGAGGCGTTCGCATCAGACAACATGGTCGTACCTCTCGCCCATTCTGGCATGACTGTATACCAGAACACCATGCTGCCTCCTTATTCGCTTGAAAGTGACACGCTGCCCGTTTTTCGGCTGGTGGCACAAACTTAACATGGGCTGCATTCCCTGTCTAATGGAATCAGTGGTTAAGACAAATTTCATATTTCTGAAGATTCAGATCCAGCACTTGAGGAGTTCGAAGTCGACTTCTTTGCCACTGCACCCTCAATTACCTGCTTCTGAGCGGTCACTGATGTGACTAATTTCGTGAACTTCGGCTCCAACGGACGGCCATTGAACGATAAATTCTGCAAGTCGCCAACGAAGCTTTTGGGGATGACCAAGTCTGACCATTCTTCGATGCGTTTAGGAGTTCCAACGGTGATCTACATAGATCGCGTGTTTATTTCCGACATTTTGGACAATGAGGTCATACAAACGAATCAAAGTCGAACCGACGGAAAGTGGACATCAATCTGGACCTGTTGTACAAAACACCGTCGATGAACAATGAAACCTCTTTCCCGTAATGGTATATGTCCAAGCAGTGCCAACGATGGTCATTCACCTGCACATGTGCTCGAACGGTTCTCGGACTGTCGAAACCTGAAAGTTTGAAAAATTTAACAGATTAGACAAAAATAAAGCCTGGTCGATATTTAAAAACCCTGAAATAATCATCCGCTATGCATATGATATTACGCTTCACACGGTCTTCACGGAGGTAAGTACAAGCGATGGATCTCAATGCAGTTCTACATGGGCAAGGCTTGTAACTTTTTTCATAAAAAATTATTTCAGCCCATCACCACCATTCCTTTGATTCCATTGTTACCAATTGTTCCATTGATAAACGGCTACTGTAACAGTCGATGGACAGCAATTTCGACAACTTATCCCGAAATTTCGGCGTCTCGTAGCGCCATCATAAAACAAACCTAGGTGACACTTTTATCACAAACGTAGATGAAATGTCTGGAGAGTACAATGCATACTTATTCTTAGAGGCTGCCTAGCATTTGAGCAGAGAATACTATTGCTAGGCTTACAATTTTTCTAGGATGAAAATATACTATTACTTTGCATGAAAGTAGTAGATGGATTTATATTATGCAATTCAGGAAGACTGTGTCTCCAAAAATGTAACTGGGAGGGGGCATCATCATTCTTCGTTACCATCTAGGACTTATGCAATATTACTGATATCAGTATAATTTATTTTGGTTCATTTTGTACGGTAAATTCAGCCATTGACTCGTTCTATCTCACATTCTGTCCCCTATTGCAGCCTTATAGCATTATCTCCTTTGGGCTGTCGTCCATGTTCAAATTGAACTTACCAAAATGTTATGATTTTCACTTTAATAACTTCCTCGCGAACGAGTACCGTGTTTCATATGCCATATACTTTTTTTCCGCCATTTTTTTCATTTTATCCACTTCAATACAACGAACTTCTTCAGCTAATATTGCCATCGATCTGGAGGTCTTTCTTGGGGCCATTTACTTTCGCTTGAAATCCAATCTAATGGCTCTGGTGCAGCAATGGTCTGTTCATCTTGCAATGTATCCTATCCTTTGCTATTTTAACTGCTTCATTCTGAAAATGACACCACAGACCCTCGCTTGTGCTCTTGCCCATTCATTCGTCTTCCATGTCTCGTTTATTATTTTCTCAGTGTTCCCAAATGCATTTTTCAATTTTAATTGTGTAGTCTGCAGTCTATGAATAGCTTTCACACACTGGGTCCACATTTCGCACCCATGGGTTAGCAGTGGTAGCACACTGTTCAGAAATTTTCTGTTTGAAGCACAAGATAGTTACCCAGAAACGAACATTTTAATTCTCCCGAAGGTGCTCCATGCCATTTTTATTCTTCGTTGTTGATTATACGCAGTCGGTTCTTCGAAGCAGGGATGAGCTGTCCTAAGCTGATGTAGTTTTGAATCTCTTGAAGCCTAATTCCGATAACTTCAACAGGTCGTGAGGTTACACACTTGTTAAACGTGTCCTGAGTCTTCTTCAGGTTAATTTTCAGTCCTACATCGATGCTGGCATCATTCATCCCTTGAATTCTTCTTTGGAGTTTTTTTGGTGATCTTGATGATCACAATGTTGTGATCCGCAAGTGTCTTAAACAGTCCCCATTCGTGTTCAACCCATGATTTTACAAAGTAAATGTTTGGAGAACCTTTTTTAGAGCTGTTATGAATATCTTCGATGATATTTCATCACCGTCGAACACTTTTTGCGATTCTGAAGTTTCTTATGCTTTTATGAAGCTTCACTCTAGCAGTAGCATTCTTATAGATCCTGACCATCAGGTTTCTGTACCTTTTCTCGACCCCTTGCCTCCTCAGGAAATTCAATACAGAATGGATGCAGACTAAGTCGAGAGATTTCTCGAAATCGGCAAACCTCAGGCTGATATTCGTTGCTTATTTTGATTACTTGTACCACCTAAAGAAGATGTATCGTAAATCCACTTCTGAATCCTGCTGGCTTCTTTGTCTGTATAGTGTTCAGGATTTTTCTGAAGTGTGCTCGCAAGTGCATTCATGGAAATTTCATGAATGGTTGACAACGAACTGATCTGCTTGTAGTTTTCAGGTCTTCTTTGTCCCTTTTTTGTAGAGTAATCACAAACATGGTAATGCAGTCTACCGAAGCTTTCAATTCTTTCAAACAATGTGCCCACAACAGGTCACATAGTGCTTTCCTCATAATTCCATCTGTTTATTTCACCAGTGAATTGATCGTATCCTAATATGCACAATACATATAAATATACAGTAGTTATCTGATTTGCACTAGCTCTCGTACGATGCTTAAAGCGTCAATTATATTCAGTTTCTCCAGTTCACAGCTCCATACTCTGTTGCATGACTGTCAGGTGACCTCGTTGTTTTGTGACGACCAATCACTATGTTTGCTAGGTCTGGATGAGTGCAATACATTTTCTTACGCGGTCTGTTTCGCTGAACGAATATCTCAGGACATCCCATAAGTTTCAAACAGGTTTTACAGCCTGGAAAGAAAATTCTTAGACTCTTAGAGATACCATGGCGTGAAAGACTGCGGTTGAACGGATTTTATAACTCTATAATTAGCTGCATGAAAATAAACGCGAAATCATCATTAAAACAAATCTGACGTTTCGACCAAACGGATGTTGGTCAGCATCAGAAGATGTGCCTTATTAGACACATGATATTCTTTGAGATTCGATGTGCGAGGAAAGCAAAAACCGACCTGTATAACTTCATATTCCTAATCATAAACATCGTGTGGAAAAAAAATTAGTCTACCCTTATAAATCATGTAATGCCAATATACATTTCGTATGTGTGGAGGTCATGAACATCGACCTGGGCTGGGGATGGCGATAGCACTACTTCGCTGAACTTCAACAAGTGAGGGCCATTTGGTCTTAGCAGGTAGTATCATAACTTCACTGAATTCCAACGCGTAACTCGACCTGACACTCACGCTGAGGAAAAGTGCGCCACCTGGTTAATTATGAGTTCGTTCTCCATTGTTCCTGAGCTTCTCCATCCCATGCATCAGGTATCATTTGTGCGAAAAGACGACCAAGATGAAACGGCCAAAATCTGTAAGCCGATTTGTAAATTGATGAGTACGACCAGGAAGAAATTCGCATCTGGGCATAGAAGTGAATTTGCCGTTGGTGGACTCCTGAAGGATATAGGCACATTTAGGCTTTAATGTACAGAAATACAATTTTTGTGACTCATGTGTGAAACACTGCCGAACTTAATAAGTTGTCCGAAATAGAGTCCCAAGAGCTTAGCATGTGTCCTACAATTGAGTATTTCGCTAGTGCCTTGGTGATCATACTGTAAATTGCATGAGAACATCATTTAATCAAGCCTGTCCACCCTGAAGAAGACCCTCCAGACACGAGCCGAAACGTTGTTGCCTCCTAACTATCCATTGACCAATTTGCTTGGGCTCCGTAAGAATAGTTCGTTTTTTTATACAGTTTTCAAGAATGCCACATATGTTTATGTGGATTCAAAGCAGAAAGAGGCTTCTTTTGTATAAAGCCTTTCTAGCAAAGTTTCTGAAACGGGCTATGATCATCTTCAACCTTTTCTAGAAAAGATTTAGATAGCTAAAATATTACGTTCGCCAAATTTCTGAAATTATTTGATTAAGTTATTGCAAGGACAGCCTGAAAATAATAAGACACCATCATTGTTCATACCTAGATCAAAGTGAACCTCAGGAATGCCGTCACTCAGCTGCAAGAGCAACAGGTCGCGTTGCGTGCCTACCAATGCTAAAACGAAGGTTTCAGATCTGTCGGTTCTGATCCATCCATGAACATGACTCTCATAGGACACCAGCGACCGGTTGTTTCGTAGATCAGCAAAAATGTAACTGTCGTCATTGAGCGTGTAACTGCGGCCAGCTACAAAGAGATCCACTAAAATTCAGCGCAGAACTGTGCTGATCAGCCTCAACTGTGAATGCATCCGATTAGATTTATGGCAACTTTCGACATGCTTTGGGAAGAGACGTTGTTCACCGGCCATACGGCAAACTTCTTCACAATAAGTGGAAACTGCAGATCCGAGTGATATCCCGTTCGGTTGCATCGCAATTGCTAAATATAAAAGCAAAATGGCCGTGTTCATTTTAAAACGTGTTTTTCGATACAAAGGCAACTTATTTAATAGTTGAGATACTCTGAATATGAGGGAAATCATATTTGACAATCAAGAATTTTGAGGTGATAATAACGTCCATCTTTGGTTCATAGTGTGTGAAAGTTTTCTATCTTCAATGGGCAAAGGATTCTGATTTTAAATGCTGAATATCGCCTGAAAAAACTCCGCCATGGCCGGTCCCAAGCCCGGATGAGAAAGGAGGAGGGTTGGAGACCGTGGCAAGTCT